AAGGCCATTTCTGATGTCCAGATGCGGTTCTCTCCGGATATCACCGGTGTGAACGACGCGAAATTGCTGTTCAACGTAACTGCAATCACTTTTGAATGCGTATGGTGTTAGGGTAGAAGTATATTATCTCCCCGTCGTATCCTGCTGCAATCCGTTCGGCTAAACACAAGCCATCTGCTGCTTTGCGAAGAGTTTCAAGCGTTTGAAACGCTCAAATTTCAAAGCCCTATGAAGGATCAGATGGAACAGCGAAACACGCTAAAGTTTGTCATCAGCAGGCCGGGTTCTATGGCTGGCCTCCTTGCCGTCATCAAAGTGAGTTTATTAGCTCCTAATTAAACATATCAAGCTGAGCCTAAAGCTCTCCCCAGTACAACCTCATCGGCAGGCGGGGACGGGAAGCTGGNTAAACATATCAAGCTGAGCCTAAAGCTCTCCCCAGTACAACCTCATCGGCAGGCGGGGACGGGAAGCTGGTCTACTTTCTTTGCTGTCCTGTTCAGATTGAAATATACCCGGGCATGTTTTTCGGGACATTCCGGAATGGAGAGACGGATTCGTGGTATACATCACTGGTGCTGCTGCCGGAGGAGGTGAATGTGGAGCCCGGAGATACCATTAGCATTGAGACTTGTGCAGATTTGCGTAACTATTCCAAAGTACGCAGCGCCAAGCAGCCTCAGAAACCGGGTTCGAGGACAGAGTCAGGCTCCGTTCTCGTCTCCAAGCCCACGTACTCATTCACCGTCTCTGTCTACAAGCCTTCTTTCAGCTTCCGCAGACCCTTCAAAACCTTTCCGCCCATTGTCGTCCCCTTCGAGGAGCAGGCGCCCGTTCTTTGTGGCGCTACACGCAGGTACGCGGACAAACGTTAGCGATCGTTTGTCAGCGCTACCCTGTACCGATTTTTGGGATTGCTTGTTAGAAGCAGTTGGTACTGTTCATTTGGTACTTCTGGTTGTCATTCCGCCCGACTGATATCATAAGTGTATACATGCGTATACTCTTTCTCACGAGCTAAAAGGACTGCAAGTGCAATAACTCGTCTACTCTTGCANAATAACTCGTCTACTCTTGCATACTAATCTACAGTAGACCAGCACATAACTGGCCCTTCAAGCGAAGACAAGAGTCGAAACTTTCGCTAGATGGGCGGCCCAGCCCTTCATGCTAGGCGAACGTCTGAATTCCCTCAGCTGAGACTGCACTAGCGACAATTCCTGGCGCCTGTCTGTTGAAAGGCGCATTCACTATACTTTGTGATGAACCCACTCGCGTAATTATGGGCACGCGACTCTATGTGAGTTGTCGTCGTGAAGCTGACGATGCAACTCATACACTAGCGGTCCACGTAGAAAGCGTTGAGACGACTCTAATTACAATCTAATTCAACGATTCAGTCTGCCTATCAGCGCAGCAGCACTTTCGCCTGTGGAAACTGCGGCAACTACTGCAACCGCCTGAAGACCTACAATGGCTTTCGTCACTAATGCAGCCAACATTTACATCCTATATAGTGATTGTACTCCTGTTGAGCGCAATAAGGTCACTAGTTACTGCATGTCGTCTATGGTCAACTACTGTATTGCCAGTCCATGCACTTCGAAGCTCAAAAATTGATGAGTTTA